TTTGAGTGATTTTTGGTAACATATCTTCCTAGAAAATAATCCATTTCATTAAAACGTTCATTTCAAATTTATTAGTATAAACGTGATCTATACTCTCTTACAGTTTAAATTTTTCTCTTATTTCTGAAGTTATCTTTTCCATCCTTTACTTTCAAAAATTTGTGTCTTCTCTCCCATTTTCTTGGTGAGCTTTGTCAAAGGTTTGACCATTTTATTGGTCTTCATAAAATCCATCTTTTGGTTTTATTGAGCAAATCTGTTTTGTTCCCTGTCACATTGGTTTTTGCTTTAATTTTGAGTAATTATGTTCATGTATTATTTATAATTAATTACATAATTACTATAATTTTGTATAATTATTTTCTTTGAGCTTATATTGCTAATCTTTGTCTAGTGTCTTAAATACTCAATTCATTTATTTTCAAATTTTATTATTTTCTTTTTAAAAATTTTTTGCTTGCGTTGGGTCTTTGTTGCTGCACATGGGCTTTCTGTATTTGCAGTGAGCGGGGCTACTCTTCATTGCGGTGCATGGGCGTCTCATTGCAGTGGCTTCTCCTGTTGTGGAGCACGGGCTGTCGGTGCATGGGCTTCAGTATTTGCAGCACGTGGGCTTAGTTGCTCCACGGCATATGGGATCTTCCTGGACCAGAGATTGAACCCATGTCCCCTGCATTTGGCAGGCAGATTCTTAACCACTGAACCACCAGGGAAGTCCCTTATTTTCCTGTAAATGCATATAAACCAACACTTTTCTGAGTACAGTCTGAAGTTTTAATAAATAATGCTTACATTGTCATTCCTTTCCAAATAATTTGAAATTTACTTATTTTTCCCCAACATTTTATTATGAGTGTTTCCAAATATACACAAAATTGAAAGAATTTTACAGTGAATGCCCCAAAGTCCATCTTCTAGTTATGATTCTACCGTTCACATTTTATTATTCTTGCTTATCACGTCTATACATCCTTCCTCCATTAATCCATCTTACCTTTTTTGGGCCTTTAAAAGTAAATTGTAGGCATCATAATTTTTAGTTTACAATTTGTTATTTCCTTTTGTTGTTGTTATTATTATTATTTTTTGTTATTTCCTTTTTAACCCTAGTTATTTAATAGGGTTTTTTTTTTAACGTCTTTATTGGAGTATAATTGCTTTACAATGGTGTGTTACTTTCTGCTTTGTAACAAAGTGAATCAGTTATACATATACATATGTCCCCATATCTCTTCCCTCTTGCGTCTCCCTCCCTCCCACCCTCCCTATCCCACCCCTCTAGGTGGTCACAAAGCACCGAGCTGATCTCTCTGTGCTATGCCGCTGCTTCCCACTAGCTATCTATTTTACGTTTGGTAGTGTATATGTCCATGCCACTCTCTCACTTTGTCCCAGCTTACCCTTCCCCCTCCCCTTATTAATAGGGTGTTTTTTTAAATGTCCGAGTAGTTAAGGTTGGAG